CTCCCCCATTCCCGACACCATCTGCTGCACCGTCATCTGCTTGAAAGGGGAAAAAACAAGAGCGTTGGGAACACTGGACAGCAAACCTGGAGCTGCTCAACTCATCAAACATTAAATATTAAAGGTTTTCCTGAAATTGAACATTACTGAGTTGAAATATAATCTAATTTTCCACGTCCTCCCTCCCAAAGTGATATTAAATGTTTTGTTTATTGCAAAATATATGATTTCTCAGCATCAACTTTTCAGAGCAGATGATGTTCAAATGAACAGAGTCGTTTCTTGTGCATTTATACCCAGTTGAACACATACCTTAATGATGTGTGATTGTTTGGGAGGAAGCAGAGAGGGGAAAATATTAGCAATAACAAAGATGAACAAAAAGGTTTGATAAAACATCTAAACGAAGAAATGAATCAGTAAAACAACATTTAATTCAAAAGAAGGGACCCAAATCTGATGAAGTTTGTTTTATTTTATAAGTAAAAGAAAAAGCTGTGGTTGATTTATTCAAACACATACTTAAAGCTATTAATCTATCTACCAATAAAATAGTAGTGAAATCTACAAGTATTAGTTGATTATTATATCTGTGAAATATGTTTCAGAAAATTCACAAATAAACTGGAAAAGTGAAGTTCTCCTATTTAATCAAGTTCAGCATCATTATATCCACTGAGGTTTTCCTTTTAGCCAAGTCATCAATAACAAGTCATCAATATTGATGAAACCTCTATGCACATTTTGAAGTATTGTATTAGAAACAGTTGGTGGAAACAGCAAAATCTACAACATTTCTACAATGAAAAAGAGTTGAATAATGAACATTTGTAGAATAAATCCTGATGTAGCAAATGCTGCCATCAACTGGAGCTCTGTGCCTTACCAGAGGCACCAAACCCAGAAAGGTCCAAACACTCAGAGCAGGTCTGTTTCTCTGAGATGTGCGATCAGTGCTAGTTATTATTTTAAGCTCTAATGTACCAAAATGTCTCATTTATCAGCAGTTTTGTTCAGTTGTTTAAATTAGGAAGGAAGCTCCTGGTGGAAACGCTCTTTGACCCACTGAAGGCTTTTCCTCACTTTCTCATGTCTGTTATTTAATCTGCAACAACAGAAATGTTGTTTGAACCTGTTGAAACTGAAAACTGAAGTGAGTCATGTTCCTTCTCGTTTGTCTGGAAATGGTAAACTCCTGACTATAAACCTTGTCTGTTTGTGACTCTGGTGGCTCCAGTGTTTCCTACCTGAGAGCTGCAGCTTCCCACCAAATCTTAATCTGCCTCATAATCTCGTCTTTTCCATTTCGCTTCTCTTGAAAATCTACCTAAAGCAACTTGGAACCACCGGATGAAGACGGGCCGCTGAGTGTGGCTGTTTTTTTCTCTGGCTGTGGTCTCCCAATGGAAAACCCCACTGCCCACTTGTTTAGATGTTGATGTGAAATTTCATTATCAGTTTCTATCTGCAGCTTTCCCACAAACAATCTGACATTAACGCCCACTTCACGCTGAGATCAGCACATTCTGCAGCATGGCAATCTATGTGGCAGACGTCAGTCTGTACACAGGAGGGCAGAACTAAGACTCATTTGTACTGAACTTAATTTTGTTAACTCATTTAAAGCAGTGTGTGTGTTAAAAACAAAGATTTTCCCACTGCATAAATGATTTGAAGAGCCATGACTGTTTCCTTTCTGATTTGTTGGTTTGTCAGGATGTGGAACTCTGGAGACATCTGGACTGTCTTCAACACGTTAATCTTGTTTTTAGATGTTGAAGCAAATGTAAGCACAGTGACTTAAAAACAGTCAATTATGAAGTCAGAGAATTTATCTGACCTTGTGAAGATAAACATGAACAGGAGGAATCCATCCTGCTCCAGACGCAGACTAACCTGGATCTGCTGGGGGTCCATGATGTTGACGGGCAGGTTGAAGGTTCCTAGCATAACGTAGCTGTTAGCGTTGCGGTCGTGCGGCACTTGGGACGTTCCCTGGGAGGATGAGGATGGGCCGCTGTCCGCTGAGGTTCCTGCAGACCCCGGACCGCCCTGGGAGGGTGGAGGCGGGGCCCGTTCCACCAGGTGGATCACCTTTCCACCCACGTCTGGGAAAAAAATCAAATAAAAAAATACCTCAGCTTAAATACAGAAAGGAAGAAATCTGTTACAAAGCAACTAAATATCCTGATTAATTTATTAGAGTTTCTCTAAAAACACAACAGAACACAAAAAAGACTCCAAATTTTTCCTGACTCACTGTAGTCTGCGAGCGTCCGTTCATCCTGCAGCACTCTGCCCTGGTAGATGAGCCTTTGTTTGTCCACTGGAATACCCACTGAAGGGGCGATGTGCTCCTTAAACTCCCTCACTGTCAGCTACAAACAGTGGGACACAAACAAATGAATTACGGCTGACAGGAAACAGAAATGTGGAGCAGAAACCGAGTTTCTACCTGAGAACCAACAGTGTAGGTTCTGCTCTGGGAGTCTAGTGTTTTCACCGTCACTTCTATGTCTGAACTTTGTTCCTCCATGATATTCCTGTAGAAAACATGGGAAGAAAATACATTCCTGGAACATCAAAGTCAATAATAATGCTGATATTTCTGAAAGAACAGGTGTTAAATCTCCAGGTGTTTTATTAGACGCCATGTTGGATGGAGGCCATGAAGAACCAGTTCAGGGAAAAAAGTGATTCAACATAGAACTATTGCGCCAATATGTCTTCATTTAAATGTTGCTGTGTGCAACATTCTCATTGCAAAGGACACACTGGAATGAAAAAACTACATGGCAATATAACCACGACTGTTATGAACTTGCATTTTACATGCAAATGTAATATATAGCCAGGTGAACCGAGTCTCACACTCAGTGATAATGATGTTGTCCAAATGCCAAAGAGTGATGAGAAACAATAAGGAGATATTCATATAGCAACTGATATAATTTATAAATATCAAGATTTTCAAACATCATGCAGCCCAGACTATAAAAATAACTCTTACAAGCAGACAAAAATATCCTGTAACAGAAGAGTTCACAGGTAGGATCAGTGCAGGTTAATTGTCAACAAGCCTGCAAGAGGGTGGCATAACTTAAGCTGCTGTTCATCGATATTTATTCCCAATAAATATCGATGATTAGAAAAACATCTGAATGTCAGTTTATTCCAATATCCTGCAGCCTCAATACAACCCAATAAAGTCACTAACTATGACTAAATTATAAAAGAAAAATCATGACTAACAGACTAACATTAGTTTGGTATTAAACATCATCCAGTCCCTGATTAACTCAACGCTCCATCAGGAGAGTCCAGTTCATTACATCTGAAATTAAAACATTTGTGAGATTAACAACCAATAATTTCAACATAGCACATGCACAAGCTGCCTGAAATACATTTCAAATGTACAGGTTAATACTGTCCTCTTGTGAACAACTTGGGCTGCGAGTTTAGGAACAAACCAGAAAATGCTGCAAAGCATCATAAACTGATCCTCTTCTTGGTTATGTAGTCTACAGAAAAACAAGTGGTTTAGCTCTTTTCCATTTGATGCCATGTCTTGGTTTCCTACTGCACATAGTTTCTCATACCTACCACTCAGGCGACTCTGTCCCATCCTGACACATTCAGATACTGAATACTAACTGGCCTCAAATTTATGCAGCTTCAAACACACAAACATATTTTTATTACATAGATACTTAAAACATCCAAGAAAGTCTTCAAACCTATGATTGTTTTTATTAGCCAACAACAGAAGCACAGAGAATAATCCTCTTCAGTTGCTGACACTCGACTGTGGATACTCAGTCATTATCGTTGTCATGATATTCAAATCCCTCTGCATGGAAATTCAGCAGCAAAGCCGTTCTTTAAAATATCTCTTCGTATTGCTCACTCTGAGGTGAAACTAAAGCATACTTGATAGATCCTCAAGCAAAAAATGAAGTTGATTGTTGAATGTTATAAAAGTTTGTAAGTAAAAAAAGTTTTGTTGTCAGAGTTAAACAAACTTGACAAAATCATAAGCTGGTGCTGCACAATCACAACATGACACAGCATGTTTGAATAATTTCTCTTGTAAATAAAGATAAACATGTTTTATTGTTACATTCCTACTTCCCCTTTAACACAGCAGAACATCATCATTGAATATATGAGTCATGAGTCTTGATGTGAATAAACCACATTTTCATAAACTTCTTCATATTTTCTATTATAACAACCTCCATCACTCTCATCTTAAGCCCAACATTCAGCTGCGGGGGTCCATTCGGCTGACATAAGCTCTAAAATGTGAATGCTATATTAACACTGCAATTTCATTTACTGTGAGCTGAAAAACAGAAAGTAACAGACATGGAACTGATGGAGGCTCCAGGTCATGTTATGGAAACAAATTACATAATCATTCTGCGTTGCCTAATTAAACTGTGTGTTGTTGTGTGCACAATTAACTGTAGAAGTCAATATCCATGTGATTAGGTTTGATAAAACATAAATAATAATTGAAAGCTTTAATTCTTAGGAGGTTTTGAGGGAAACGATGTGCTTTAGCAGCGGGTCTCTCCCACAGCTTTAGCGCTGGTTACAACACCGACATCCTGCTGCTACACGAAATCAGTAAAATGTTTCCTGTTAACTTTTACTCTAAAACATACCACAGTCAGAAATAACTCCAGTCTTGCGTTTAGTTGTTGGTTGTAAACAGCTAAGGCTTAACAAAGACCGTCCAGCTGGTTTATAAGCTAACTGAGGGACGGCTATGCTAAGCTAATGAGAAGCAGCTATACGTCACAACGAACAGAGACAGTAAACGTTCATCTCCACGGATGTTACGCTCTTACCTATTAACCACTCTACCTTGTCACTATATCCGGTGATATCTGGTTGTTTTCACCGGAGAACGAACCGCTTCCGGGGGTCGCAGCTCCGGTGTTTGCTTGAAGCTAAGAAGCTAACAAGGAAGTGACGTAAGGGGGCAATCGGAAGTGTTCTACGAGAGAAGAAAAGATGGCGAACTTGGTGCAGGCGACGAGCCAGAAGCATTTTGAGGAGTTTCTCGCCAAGGCTGGAAAATGCCTCACCGTGGTTCACTTCCAGGCTGCATGGGCCCCCCAGTGCGGCCAAATGAACGAAGTAATGGCGGAGCTGGCCAAAGAACACACCGGCACCACGTTCGTGAAGCTGGAAGCGGAGGCGGTCCCGGAGGTGTCGGAGAAGTATGAGATTTCCTCGGTGCCCACTGTCCTGTTTTTCAAGGCCGGGGAGAAGGTGGACCGGCTGGACGGGGCTCACGCTGCGGAGCTCACCAAGAAGGTCCAGCGGCTGGCGGTGAGCGGGAGCCCGGCCGGAGCTGCGGAGGCGCCCGACCTGAACGAGCGGCTGAAGAAGCTCATCAACGCGGGGCCCTGCATGCTGTTCATGAAGGGCTCCCCGCAGGAGCCCCGCTGCGGTTTCAGCCGGCAGATCGTGGGGCTCCTGAAGGAGCATAACATCCAGTTCAGCAGCTTCGACATCCTGTCCGACGAGGAGGTCCGACAGGGTCTGAAGACCTTCTCCAACTGGCCCACCTACCCTCAGCTGTATGTGAACGGGGAGCTGGTGGGAGGCCTGGACATCGTGAAGGAGCTGGCCGAGTCCGGGGAGCTGGAGAACACCTGCCCGAAGGCCGTCAGCCTGGAGCAGCGCCTGAAGTCCGCCATCAACCAGAGCCCGGTCATGCTGTTCATGAAGGGCAACAAGGAGGCGGCCAAATGCGGCTTCAGCCGGCAGATCCTGGAGATCTTGAACGGAACCGGGGTGGATTATGACACCTTTGACATCCTGCAGGATGAGGAGGTCCGGCAGGGGCTGAAGACCTACTCTAACTGGCCCACGTACCCGCAGCTGTACGTGAAGGGCGAGCTGGTCGGAGGTCTGGACATAGTCAAGGAGCTGAAGGAAAGTGGGGAGCTGGTGTCGGTTCTGAAGGGGGAGTCTTAGGTGGATGTCCTCCACCGTCCTCCACCCTTCAGACAGGGAACAAGAAGCTTCTGCAAGGGCCACAAACAGCAGCTCCACAGGGGCCTCCACAGGGGCCTGGAGAGCAAAGGTCAACAAGAACTTTCAGATCGTAGCAGTTTGGTAGATTCTCATGCAAACACTGGAGACTCTTGAAAAAACATCTTTCAAATGTTTAAAAAGAAGGAATATATGTGGGATAATGTCTTAACATCCTGTAATTTGGCCCCTCACATCTGATTCTGATAAAAGCTTCTTTTGGTTTGAACTTTAAGGTTTTTCAGGTTCTTCAGATTGTTCCTCTTTCATGTTTTCCTCGGAAATGTTTCATAAACGGCTTTTCAGCTGTTTCTTTCAACTCCTGAGACTAACGCAGGTCCATTTTCTTCCTTGATGAAAACAATTATTAAATGAATTAAATGAACATGAAGATGTTTGCTTCTGTTGTGTCTAAAGGTTACTGAACATTAATAAATGAGTCGTCCTATTTTCCTCTTGAATAAATCCCGGGTAGTTGCATCATAAATCCCGTTTAACTAACGGACATGATGCTATTCAAGCTGCAGCAGAACAACCTGACTGCACAGATTAAACTGAATATCCTCAGAATATGAACATATTTCTGCAGTGTTATGGATCTGTGACCTGATGAGATAAGATGCTGCGATGCCTTGTCACATAGACATAAATATTAAGTTTAGATTGTTTTGATTTATTTGATTTACACCAATAAATAAGAAGTGAACACTGGAGGAGCTCAGGACATTCAGAGAAGCACCTGAAGGTTTTATCAAACCTGTTTAATATCTGAAATAAACCTTTGAACTAAAACCTTTGAGTATCATAAATGTGATATGAAGCCACATAAACACCAGCTGTTAGTCTATGGTCTTTCATCCAGTTGCTGATGGGATGATTGTTTGGCTATAGGAGCCGTTGAACAGGTGTACCTAATAAAATGGCTGTTCTGGATACAGAAGAAATTGCAAGAAAATTAATGTGCACTGAATAGATCTGCATATTAATATTATATTAATACTTAGATGATAGCCTTTCTTCTTCTATTTATTCAGGTAACTAATATCCAGGTGGCATAAACTTTTTTTTGTTAAACTTGCAGGCCAAAAAAAGAAAATACACATTTTTAAGAAACTAAAATCACAGAAAAATATTGTTTTGGGATTTTTTTTTGGTAACAAAAACTAAGCTTGAAATATTTAAATGAAACAAATATATTTTTAAATTAGGAAAGGGATGTGTCCATCAAAACTTCAAAAAAGTTTAATGTTTTCATTATTTAAAGAAAGAAATCCAGTTTTCTAAATCTCCTTGGCTTGATAAAGATCAGCAATAAAAACATGAATGAAATCACCGTTGATTTAAAAACACTTTCTGTGTTTGCCGATGTTTTAATAAAGTGCTTAAAGCTGATCTGGGTCCATCAAACTCCACTGGATGGATGTGATTCTATTTAGCATTAATTACAGAGAAATCTAGAAACTTGGTTATTAAAATGCTTTTGTTGTGCCAAACATTTTTAAAATAATTTGTGGATAATTATTTTCTCTCTGATGGGCCACATTTGCATCATTAAGGCGGCCGTTAGTGGCCCCAGGGCCACACTTTGGACCCCCCCGATCTGAGGAGAGTCTTCTGCTAAAATTTCTCATCATCAAACTTTAATGCTTGAGAATCAGCCAGGAAATGGCCTGGCTGACCCTGCAGGTAAAACTGTTTGGCGCCCCCTTGTAGAAGCAGGAATTATTACAGTAACTCATCCTGTCGTCCATCTCCTGCATTTCCCTTCTTGTTTAACAGTTTCCAGTGATCTGATGCAGATAAATTTAATTATTCAACCATATTTGTCATTATTGTTTACTTGGTAGAGCAGTCTAACCCTAATAAGGTTATTACATTCATAATGTAAGCAATAAGCACTGAATTTATTTTGGATTAACCTAAAAGTGATTCAGCACAACAATAACATTTTAAATTGGCATGGAGATATGGAAACCAGGTGTTAATAAAACAAAAATCTATTTTTTGAATTTCCAGCGCATGGACTGACCTTTTGTATGTCAAGATTTCCCCGGAGGGTTTTTATTGTTTCACATGTAAATCAGTTCACAGCTCCTGGAAATGACGACTCTGTGACCAAAGCTGTGACTGAAACAACCAAAATGAGGAGATTTTCTACTGTTGGCTTTAAAATACTTTCAAGACCAAAGAGCAGAAATATTTAGATTTTACTCTTTTTTTCAACTGAAGAGGAATAAATGGTTAGCTCACGTCTAAGAGGAAATAAGTCAAACTGACCAGAAAACCAAAAGGCCACCAGAACCAGAACCAGAACTCATGCATTCCTCACCCTGGCTGGGAAAATGGCTGCTCCTTCAGCCCATGCTCTGCTGCTGAGGGAGCATGCAGCTACATGTTGGTTAAAGTGATCCTTTTAGGCAACATTGTGTAATTACAAGGTAATTAAATCCTCACTGACCCAAAGCAGTGAAGCACCAGAAGGTTTGCAGGATGACATGCCAGAGTGGAGGATGTGGCCGACGTCATGCAAACCTCCAGGTGTTCCTGCCGCATGTCCTGCTGCTGTCTGCTGACGTTCACTCACCATCCTGACAGAAGCTCCAGTAACCTCCAGATGCTACTCATCATTTAGCATCTCATTTACGTTCACACGCCTCGTACAAAACGGTTTCAGGATTTACTTATTTAAAAATAAACATTTATTTAAAAGTAAATAAATCCACATGAAACACCCTTCAGTTATTCTGATCCATATTTCATTTTCATGATATATATATATATATATATATATATATATATATATATATATATATATATATATATATATATATATATATATATATATATATATATATATATATTATTATTGAAATATTATAAATATTTATTTTTTTTAAATGATATATTATTAGAGAAATTAATAACTGTAATCTGCTGCTCTTAAAAATATTTATTTTTAAATGAATATTTAAAAATATTGATATATAAATATTTCTAACAATGTAAAAATATTAAAATCAATATTTTTAAAATATTGATTTCAATATTTTAAATAAATATTTAAATAAATAAGTATTTATCAAATAATTATTTAAATATTTATTTAAGTAAATATTTAGATAAATATGTATTTAAATATTTATTTAATATTCATGTGAATATTAAATATATATTTAAATGAGTGAATTTAATTCACTAGTTAGTGAATTAGTTAGTTGTTTTTTCTAAAAATGGCCTCTGCTCCCTGCAGGCTCAGGCTGCAGCACAGTCAATGATTCTGGTTCTGTTTTCCTTTAAACCGTCTCTGACACTGAAGCTGAGCTTCAAGCAAGACTTTCTTTATGATCTGCTTCTTTTTTGATGAGATTTTGACATCACCACATCCTCCCACACAGAGCTGATTCACTCAGGAAGTTTGTTTTTAAAGTGGCTTTTCAACAGTTCATCTCTTTGAAAAATGAAAGTTTGATTTACTTTATACTATTATCATCTAAAAACCACATTTGTTTGCATCAAAGGATGCTGAAACCTCAAGCTCAGCCCCAGATGATTGTCGCTAACGGCAGCCCCGCTGCAGAACAGTAGCTAATAATTCACCCACACCCACTCTGTTTAATTTAGCAACATTGCATAAAGTCAGACGTGTCCTTGGAGTTCACTGACATTTGTACATTCTGATTTAATTTGCAGTCATGTTCAGTGAAGTTTGGCTATATTTGTTGTATTTTCATGCTTTTGTTCAGCAGATTTTTGCTCCCTGCAAGTATCGTGAGCTGCTGGCTGTGAACTCACTCGACCTGCACCAGGTGAGACTCAAAATGTTTGCTTTCTGTCAGTAAAACAGTAAATGAAGGAACGTTAACCGTCCTTCATGTGGTTTACTGGTGTTTTACTGAGATGCGTTGCCTCAGAAGGGAACTTTCCACCTCCTCCTCTGTTCTTTCCACAAGTGGTCTTTGCTGCAAGTCGTGGGCTTCTATCTTTAATAATCTTCTTCTCGTGTTTACTGCTTCCTCCCCCCACGACCGACCATCTCTCTCCCTGTGTGTGTGTTTCAGTATGCGGGGAAATGGTTCTTCAAGGCGGCCGTCAGTCCCAGGGACTCAGACATCAGCAAGTTCAGGATGTTTGACAACATCGTCTTCACCATAGAGGACAGGTCCAACACCACGCTGGTCCTGACTGGAAACATGCGGATGTAAGAAGTCAAACAGCCCTGCTACACACACACACACACACACACACACACACACACACACACACACACACACACACCACACACACACACACACACACACACACACACACACACACACATGCTCACACATAAAAGACGGAATCATTGGATGCAGAAAACTAAAGCATGTAGCAGCTGACAGTTTCAGAATGACAACAACCTCTTTCACACATTTCTATGAATATCAGCTCTATATTTATAAGTGTGTGTCATGCCAAAAGTATTCCTTCATGTGCTTTCACACACACACACACACACACACACACACACACACACACACACACACACACACACACACACACACACACACACACGTGATGTCCTTGGTGATTCAACACACTGATTTGGTACCAGCTCGTCCGTTTCCGCTGCAGCAGCTCCGGTTGTTCTGGAAGGATTTCCACAAAGCTTGATAGAGTTGATGGGAGTTTTTGATCACATTTGTGAGGTCAGACACTGATGTTGGATGAGGCTCACCATTCTAATTTGTCCCATAGGAGTTCTGTCAGGTTGAGGTCAGCCCAGTCCATTTCTTCTGCTCCAGACTTTCCTGTTCATGGCTGATAATTTGTACATTAGTGAGAGGTCATGTTAGCAAAGCTGGAGGCCATTTTCATTTCTCCACACTCGATGCTCTGCATTGCTCTTGTTGACGTAACCAGCAGCTCGTACATATGATGTCCTTCAGCCAATCTGAAGGACATATGAAGTTCTGCAACTGATAACTCTGCAGAATGCTCAGACCTCTGACCTCTGACCTCACTCTGTGACTAAATGTGTACCAATGCTTGCATTTTAATATTCTTCATTCATTTAATCACATGCAAACATTCAATAAACATTTTATTTTCTAATTTTAATAACTGTTCATGTCGTCGTTGCCTGGTCATTTGTAGCACAGGATGAATCTGCAGCTGAAAAATCCTTCCAACTTCAACAAGCCCAGAGCTTTCTGATTGGCTCTGATCAATTCAATTGATCAGTTTCTGGATTAACCTGGATTATGCATTTTTATCCAGGAGGAGCTAAAATGCATATTGATCGGACATTTAATTGTGTATTCCAGCTCTTTTGATTCTGACATTCATGATCTTCTGCCAGATGGTTGAACTCAAACCCTTTCCAGACCCGTTTAACTTCCAGTTTTTGCTCACAGTTTGTCTTTGGACGTTGAACCCAAACATACGAGACGTTGGTCTAAAATACCAAGATAAGCTTCAATGTTTGTCAAGCTGCTTTTTACTGAAGGTTTATTAGCCTTTTGTTTTTAAAAACTGGAGCTAACAGCACCTATAAAAATCATCAGCAGAGGACGCGTTGCTGTTCAGAAGTTTAAAAAGGGAACTAAACTTTTATGCTTGGAAATTCACGTCACAGCTTGACTGAACCCAGAGTTATGCAAGGCAAATAAACCAGCATCGTTTGCAGCATAGGTAGAAAAGGGAATGTGAAAGTAGAAAAAGTGAAAATGATTTTATTTGAAAAATTAAACTATTACTTCTCTCTTGTATTTCTCACTAGGTCAGTTTTGGTTTTATTTTTCATGTTTGCAGGGGAGAGGCGTGCATAAAGCAGAACTGGACGTATCATGTGCAGCCGGGGAGGGATGACCTGCTGCTGGAAGGTCAGTGCAGCTTTAACCAGCGTTGACAAGAGAGGAGAAACGGATCAGGATGGTTAAAGGGATGGTGGTGTGTTTATGTCTGAAAAAAGGAGAAAGAATAAAGAAGAAAACACCTGACATCAAGATGTGATTCTCTAGAACTATAATGTGAGCTGCTGGGGAAATCCCGGCGCTGGTTTTGGTTTTCAAGCCTGCAGAAATATGATATTCTTAGGAATGTGTTCAGCATGCCACTGTGCACCAAACATTAGAACCACTTTCTCATCACATGGAGTTCCCCAGGGTACTGTTTTGGGTTGCTTTTTTTATTATCATTCAAACTCATCTTTCTTCACTCTAATCAAAATATTTAGGAACTCTGTTCTCTCCAATTTCCCCACTACAGATAATAAACTCAGATAGTAGCATAAACTGCCATCTGCTTTCTGCTGCTTCAAATTTGTCAAAGATCTCATTTATTTACAGTCCAGGTCTAATAAACCACTTTGCACCTTTTTAAAAATATTTTTGCTCCAGAATAAGACTTGAACAGTTGTTGAATGGTTGCACAGCAGCAGAAACGTTTCCTGCAATGAAGACAGCGAGGAGGAATATGACTGCAGAGAATCCTCTGGACTTGATAAAGTGAAATACAAAAACAGGCAAAGAACCATTTACAATCAGTAATTCAGAATACTTCCAGGATCAATGAAGAGACTCTAAATACCTGAAACAATCTGTGCACCATCTGGTTTAAATGAAGCAGAAATGGAGTTTCTTTTACATCTGATCTGTGTTTTACTGGTGTGTGTCGGTTCTAATCCAGGAGGCAGCAGCGCCGTAATCTGCTGTGGAGCGGCATGTGGGCCAACTGCAGCGACTGCATCGTTTTCCAGGAACTAGAGCCGCCTCTGAAAGAGACCGACTCGGAGGATTCACTCAACAGATTCCTGCTATACAGTAACTCACCCGACATCAAGTCACATTCAGCCTTTTATCAAACAAAAACCTCTAAAACTGCAAATACTTCTTATTTCTTCTTCTTTTTTCTTTTTTTTTTTTTACATTTGTTATATTTATATTCTGCTGGTCAAAATATTGACCAGCAGAATAACCCTAACTAAATTATATACAGTTTAGTTAGTTGTAGGGATGCAATTCATCTACTTGTGATTAATTGTTCATTAGATGAAAATTAATCCAATAATTAAACAACAATGTTCACTTTGACCTTCCTGTAGTGTTCTAGTTTGGGCACCATCCAGAAGAGGGCGCCACTGGTCATCTTTAAGCAAATCAGTAGATACATAAACAAAGATGGCAGGAGAGAGAAACGGTCTGGAGGGGGATGAAAAATCACTTTATTTGGTTCTGTTTTGAAATCTAAACACTCAACAAACTCCTTAAGTTTCATAAAACATAATTTTGAAAAAAATCCAGCATCCAGCCTAAAGAGGCCAGAGAAAACTCAGATTTTTAAGAAAACATCCAATAATTTAACTAATTGAACTAATCATTCATTAAATGAAATGTCAGTCAAGTTTAAAAAATCAATCAAGTTTAGATTAAGTCAGTAATCAATAACTTGCATCTCTAGTGAGTTACTTAGATTTTCTTTTTTTCCGTGGTTTGACCTGAAGGTCGGCAGCAGGATGTCGACTCGGAGATGTTGACGACGTTTGTCAGGAACTCGGCTTGCAATGGCCTGACGGCGAGCGTCACACTACCTCATGAGAAAGGTTTCTCATCAGCAATGCACGTTTATGCTGTTTTCTTTAACATTTATTCTAACAGTTTCATGTTTTTCCAGAGTTTTGCATCTAGACATGCGAGTGGAGGTAGGCGCGGCTTCTACCAGCTGCAGAGTCGCTTCCCGCTCAGTGAAGTCACAGCTTTTCTCTCATTTCTTACAGGATGCTTTGGGAGATCTTGGATCTTTTTGCCTCTCCTGTGCTACACTAAAGTGAACCAGGAGGCCTCAGAAAGTAGCGATAATTTTGTTAAACACAGCAAAGCCAAACCCATCCATAGGTTTCATTTTCAGAGCTGCAGCTGCTGAGGCGGGAAGACCCGGCAGAATCCACCATCAAAACCCTGGAAATCCCAGCAGTCAGAAATACCTGATCACCTGCACAGGAAGGAGCAGTTTGTCTTCTCATCTGACTTTATTCTTTTGAGATTATCAGAGTGGCATTAATGTGATGCTCTGACTTTCATTGTCAATATTTCCTTCACTTTTCTCTGAATAAACAAACTTTCATCTTGACATCAGTTTGAAATGGATTCACTGAACTCTGATAAGACAGTTTAGTATGAGAAAGTCAAACATTTCTGTTCCAAAAGGTTTTTAGTTTCAGGAGTTCTCTGAAGGTGCAAAACTCCATGAATGAATCATTCGGAGGTTTGAGTTTAATCTGTTGTACATTTAGCTGAATTCAGAGGAGATAAACGTTTCATTTGGGTAAAAAAAACAAACAAAATATTGCTTAAGTCAAGTAAAATAAATGTTCGAGCTTTGATATTATTTATTCTGAAAACAAGAAGCTGATGCTCACATTATCTCATATCCAGCTGCATCATTACAAGCAATCCAGTTCAATCCAGCTTCATTAAAGCTTCATCACTAATTATATTATCATCTTTTATGAATAGATTGGAATCAGATTTGAACTGAAATCCCATCATTAAATTATAACCACATTTATTCCCCTGAAGCTTCCTGGTTGCTGATGGGAGAATTTAAAAATGAAAATATTTTCAACTTCTCCAGGTCTGAAAGTTGGAAACTTTCCTACACAGAGCTTCAGTTTGTGTTTTGGTCTGTCAATTATGATCATTTATTGAATTCAGATGAACTGACACATTTTTTTTTATCTATGTTTCAGCAGAAAGTTTGGAAGGATCAGAGTGGAGATTAATAAAAAATAAAGCAGAATGCCTACATGCAGCACAGTCAGAGGAAAGGAGAGCAAAAATAATGAAAACCAGAGAGCTTGAATAACAAAGGTCCAGGTGGAGAATGATTCTGAATGCAGGTGAGTTAATCAGAGGAATGTGGAACAGCTGAGGAAGAGAACCGAGGAAGAGGAGAATAATGAACACAGAAATCACAAAGGAGACAAACACTGGAAAATGAACTTAAACATACAGGTAACAAACATTTCTAACCAGTCAGACACGAACCTGCACATTTCAGTTTATTACAACCTCTATTATTCTGGCCAGATTCATTTAATGCACCAGTTTATTGGAACTCAGATAGACAGAAATGTACTTGTAGGGCTACACATCATGTTTTACTGAAGCTGGATGCGAAAGCATGAAGACACAAGGTGAGTTCATCCACTCTGAAGCTAAAACAAGAACTCAAAAATCAACTAAAAGAGATCAGATTAAACCAGATTAGCTGGACAGCCTGACCTGGACAAACAGATACGAGGGGAATTAGAATAGAATAGAATTCAACTTTATTGTCATTGCACTGTTACATGTGCAAAGCAACGAAATGTAGTTTGCATCTATCCAGAAGTGCTATATTGGATATAAATATTTTTAAACAGTTGTACAAAGATATAAACAGAGAGTAATATTGATGTGCTATAAATAAAATGTTTTGTACAAATATAAACATAAATATGAGAGCTATGTACATATTATACAAATTACAGAGATTATACAGAATAAACAGGAATATGAAAAATGGATTGTATATATATATATATATATTAGTTGTTTTATAATACAGGATAAGTAATGGCAGATTAGATTTACAGATTATATAAAGATTATATACAGATTGTGTATGTGAGGAAACAGTCTGGGGATGGGGGTACAGTGTCAGGAGGCGTTCAGGAGCGTGACAGCTGTGGGGAAGAAGCTGTTCCTGGTGGTTCTGGTCCGCAGGCTTCTGTAACGCCTCCCAGAGGGCAGGAGAGAGAAGAGCGTGTGTGCAGGGTGAGTGAAGTCCTTTTCCTTTTACCTGCAGCAGGAATTTCACTTTTGTGAATACTTGATTTTTAATCTGAATTTATGCCTGTTTTTTCTGGTTTCCTCCCACAGTTGAGAAACATCTGTTGGCTTCGCTGATGGATCACTGGGTGGCGGCACCAAAATGATGGTAATCAGCTGTTTGATGATGCAATACTTTTCCAACAGGCTCCGGTTTTGACAGAAAAGCATCAAAACGTTGAGCTCGGATCAGTCCAGGTCTTTCAGATTTACACCAATTTGAATCTGACTGGATTAAACTCAAGTCACGAAAATCTCCATATTTATTATTTCATTTTGTCTCAAATTTTTAAAATGCTCTTAAAGTTGGAATCTGCAACAAGTGGCTCTTTGGACTTTCCACAATGGCTCTTTAAAACTTTGGCTAAAAATTATAACTAAATAAATTTTGTACATATTTATTAACAAATGCAGGTTTTCATAGTTTTTTAAATTTTTTTCATGGAATAAAATTGAATGACTTTAAAAGTAGCAGTTCTATTCTCTGGGTCTGTTTTTCTTGTCATTTGGTTTGAAACTAAACGCTTTAATTAAAATAGTTAAATTAGTGTGAAGTGAACAATTCAGAGACTGAGATTCAGACAAAAGTCAGGGAGCAAAAACAATCTTTAACACATGTGCATGCAGACGGAGAGCAGAAATAAACTGCATTAGGCGAAAATCATTCTGCTCTAACAAACTCAGGAGTTGCATAGTTGCTTTATTCACCTCTCTCTGCTAACAGGCGGAGACTCAATCTTCGAAGACCAAACAAAAAACAAAGGAAAACAGACGGAACAGTTCAACCTTGTACGCTCAATCACTGTCATGTCTACGGGATGACATGACAATTGAGGTTCTTTACAAATTGCATCACATTTTCTATAGTAAATATTTATCAAAAATGAAAAACTGTGGTCTTTTAAAACTTTATTTCCTCTTATTAACTCTTTGTGGCTCTAAACTGGTTTGATTTAGTCTGACTAATTAAGGTTGCACATCCCTGTGTTTGAAAACTGCAGCACAGTTTAAATTTAATCCCCAGATCTCCACAATCTAGCCTGTTTGTTTTCTGCAGAAACTTTAAATATATGGATGTAAAAATATCCTAATTATGTCGTCTTCACACTGACGGATACAAACAGAGAAGTGTGAGCAGAGCCGACTGGCAGCAGTGGAAGTGAGCATGTCTCAATCTGCTGGTTTGAACTGTGGCTCTGTTAAACACTGGAACATAGTGCAACCTGTGGGTGAATCTTCACTCTGACTTTCAAGCAGCACCAGTTGGGAACTACCTGCAAACTCATCGGCTTCTTTGTTATTACAGGTAGGATGCACAGGAAGCAGCGGTGCAGAGTCCGTCCCCTGCTCTGAGTGGGGACAGCACCCTGCAGCCCACATCCAGGCCAGTTTGTTTTCTCGTGTTGCAGGTGTAGGTGTGTGTCTGGTTGTATGAGTGAGCATGTGATGAAGCAGGAGAAAGTTAGTGACATTCTCAGGGTCCAGAGAAACCCTCTGAGCCTGCCGGGGGGGAGGCCCATGGAGCACGAAACCAAAAACTGCAAAACAAAATGGAACAAACATGTTGCTCTCACTTCTGCTTTTTTTTCCCAATGAGTCTCATCCTCGTGTTCAGATTCACACTTAAATTTGTGAATAACACTTCTCCTCTCACAAGCTCTCAATGCAGCTTCTCGTTTCAAGCAGCATTTTTCAGTACAAACTGATTTTGCAGAAATTACTGCATGTGGAAACCGGACAAATAGAGAACGAAGTCCATGGAGTTCAGTACAACTCTGCATCGATTATTACTTCTTTATTCCAATAAAAAACGTACACACACCAGAAAACTCCAGACATGATTTCCACTGCCTGGTGTCACACAGCAGTTCTGGTTCTGGTTCTGCTTTAGGCGCTTCAGCTGATGACATCACCAGGTCCAATGATAGAGATTATTAGTAAAAATCATAGAGGGACACTCTGAATTAGTTTAAAAATGTTAATAAAGAGGAAAAACAAATTCAAATAACTTTGAATTGTGTCCCCGATGTCCATCCAGTCCCAGTGACCTGAAACTTTTAGATCATCAAATGATGATGTCATCAGCAGGTGAATCGGGAAGCTGAGGAGGAAATCGGCTTTTTGATCAGATGTGTTGGACCAGGAGCATCTAAAAGCTTCAGCCCTGAAAGACAGCAGGCGAACGCAACGCAAATCCGATGTTTTCACTCAGTAAAATTTTTTAATTTGTGTCACTTCTGATTGTTTTCAAAGCGTCTGCAGTCATATCCAAACTCCAACGTCTGGACATGATCCACGATTCCAAGTAGTTGAATTCCACTTTTCAACTCCTCTGGAATTTGGGGTCAAAGTTCAGGCCTTATTTTATTGATTAAACAATTAAACTGACCTTCTTGCCATGGTTATGCATCATAACAGCTACCCAAATGTGAAGAACCGAGAGCAAAACTCCTTCCAAATGCAGAGCATCAGAATAAATGTCCAAACTGAAAATGAACTAAAGTCCAGAAAAAAACAAATCGGAATCAAAATAACAGAACACAAGAATAAACTAAACATAGAGGAATGAAGCAGGAAACATGGAGAATGGAAACATCTGAAGGACATGAAAAGCCCAACAGAAAATAAACAAACCAGAAGTCAAACCCAAACACAGAGAGTGTGAGCGAGTTGACAGGAAACTGAGACCAAACCTGACATGGAGAAAAAAACACAACCTGATCTGGTTCAGAAAAAGCTTCAAACTTAAACTGATTCTATAGAAACATCAAAAAATAATCTCAATTGTATAAAACTGAACTTTCTACAAATGTTTGAACTCTAAAAGTATTTTTCTTGAATCAGAACTTTCTGCCACAGATTTCTGCAGGAAACATTAACAGACTGAATATTTTCTGTTCCTCTGCCCATCGCAGCTCATTTATATTCAAACATAGCTCATTAAATATTAATCTAAGGTAAAATCAAGTTCCTCAGGTTCCTCATTGATATTTCATCTGCAGTCAGGGACAGTAAGAAAAGGCCTCACATCCTGCAGCTTCTTATCTGACTCTGAATCAGCCGCCAAACTCTGGTAGTGAGGAAGAATTTCCCTGTCATGTTTGTTTGTTACATGTTGACCTATAAACGTGGGAAATCTGAAAGCCGCCCTCAGCAAACGTGTACGTGTCAGTGAGGGACCGCACCACAGCGCCTTTCTCTTTACATCAGCCTGCTTTCCTCACCAACATCCCCTTTTTCCTTTCACCGCTGAACATTTTGCTTCAGGTTTAGAAGAAAGTGTTCCAAACCGCTTCACACACACACACACACACACACACACACACACACACACACACACACACACACACACACACACACACACACACATACACACACACACACACACACACACACGCTCCGCTGGATGACACTTGTAGGTTTCATAAATTTCACAAACGTGTCAGAGGTGCTTCTGAGTTTCAGAGCGATGAGTGGAGCCACCTACACCACAAGCAGCAGCCCTCCCCTCTCCACTCCTTCTGTTTAAACCACAACTCTCCCTGCAACAAGAAAAAAACCCTCCATCTCATCTCCAGCTCAAAGAGAAAAACCTGCGAGGCTGGCATGTCTGTCAGAGAGGAGACTCAGAGGAGCGTGGACGCGGACAGCGCAGGACGCAGGTGAGTCCACTCTCTCACCAACACTACTGGGATCCATCCCAACGTTTTCCGTCCAGCCCAGCAGAACGCGGCTCGGCTGCTTGCACTGAAATTCATAAATGAATAATTTGTTTTCGTGTTTTATCGTCTAATTTTGATGCATTTTGGTGCAGATTTACTCATATGCCACCAAAGATTTCATTTAGTTCCTCTTTTGGACACTGTGTCTAGACTTTATCATTCTGTTGTGTTTCGCATTTTGAGTAATCAGCACTTTTATTAGGCTTTCTACGAATATTAATGATATGACACAAATAAATGGCCATAATTCTGAGAATCCTGGTTTCTAAAATGAAAAACTGCAGCATAACAAGATCTTCCGCTTTTCTGTTGTAAAGATTTAGATCTGACAGCAGAAAACCGAACCTGGAGATAAAAGATCTGAATATCAGCTCCTGTTTGCATGAATTTATTCACCACTAAAGACGTTTCAAACAATTTAAATAATTCCTTTTTTGCAACAGCAGCATGAATCTCACAAAAAAACCCCTAAATTCTGAATGATTTTAGAAATAAAACATGAAGCAGAATAAATCAAGAGCAGCTCCACAGTTATCAGATCTAAATACAAACGTTTGGAGTCTGTCTAAAGACTTCAAATAATGACAAAACAAACCTCATCTAAAATGTTCTCCACACAAAAAATTCAAAACGATAAAAATCAAAATGCCTCACAGTTTCAAATCTATAACTTTACTGAAACTTTGGCCAGGAGTCCAAATAGCTGCAAAACCAGAAGTATTTGTGTAAAACCCAGCAGGGAGTTGTTGGGAAACAACAAAGTCCTCAACTCAGAAAAAAGAAAGAAGTCAGTGTTTCATGTGTTTAGGGGCGGAGCTTAAACACCTGATGGACGAAAAACAGGGGAAAAAAATCCCACATTTACTGTAAATATTACCAAACAAAAATCCTCACTTTAGCTGCACCTGTAACTGTATAGTTAAAGCACAGAGGTGTTTATTTTCCTGCCGAAAGACCCAAATCTGACCCAGATTCACGTCACTGAGGCCCACAGCACCACACACCCTCTACCATGCCTCAGTGAGAACAAACTTCCTTCACTACTGAAGAAAACATAGTTAGATCATCTTTATAAGGCTTTAAGTCTGGAGACTTTGTCAAATAAGACAGATTTTATGACAATGTCCCCGTAACTACGCCCTTATCGGTGGTTTTTGGTGCTGATACAAATAATCTTTCTCCAACTGAAAATGACAATATGGGAAGGAATGGATGGTTTTCGACCAGCGGTTCTCAATAGATGGAGACAGGCTCCAATGTGGACCATGAAGAGTGAAGAAATGGGTCATAGAACTTAATGACACATTAAACACAAATCCAGTCATTGTGGACTCAGAGTTTAATAACTTTGCTCTGCACTCAAAACTTCCCACAACTTATTATAACACACTTTTGAAAAAGGTTTGCAGTCCGACCACTTCACTCACGCTCCACGGTCAGGGGTATTTCAACCAACACAGGGAGTTTCACTTCGCATCACCACAGGTAGAAAATCTAGACCACCGTCGTTATCTCCCTCTGCGTGTCGACGACTGAAAAACTCCCACTGAGGTAAAACCCCAGAGAAGCAGAACAGGTTTGTTTGCCACAATGCCACAATTTGCCACAGGTACATTTACCCACAATGCACTGCAGCTGTTCTATAAATGGCTTTCATGCTAATCACTGTGGGCATTCACCAGTTTAACTTTAGCCACAAACGTGTTGAGTTCAGGCGTTAATCCCCTGATGAATGCAACCAGAGAGCATTTCCTTCTGTTTACATCAAATCTTTGACTCCTGAAGCAAAGCATGATGGGAATGATGGGAATCACGGGACATTCCTGCAACTAACAAACATATTATACAGAAATATTTCTTACAACACTGAAAAACACAAAACCTTACAAAGTGTTTCTGTCTTCAAAAACAAACAAAAATAAATTACTAGTAAGTTTTCAGAAAGACATGGGAGATTCAAGTCAATAATTCCTCAACGATGGGAAAATGACTGTTTGACCAGTGGAACTGGTTCTATATTTGAACCAGTATTCAAGAATTGTTGACAAATAAAAGCTTTAGAAAAGTTACTTGTAACTTAGTTTTGTTTTATTTAAAGTGTGATGAGATATTTGCACCAGAAATGAGACAAAAACACTTTGTAAGGTTTTGTGTTTTGTCAGGACTCACAGTGGAGTTTTATAAATATAAAACTATGTTTTATTTTTTAATCTAACATAAACCCCAAAAGTCACTTAATCAGAATCAGAATGAGAACAAAATGGACGCATTGTATTTACTGAGAAAGTGAATGAATGAATGGATGGATGGATGGATGATGGATGGATGATGGATGGATGGATGGATGGATGGATGGATGGATGGATGGATGATGGATGATGGATGGATGATGATGGATGATGGATGGATGATGGATGGATGGATGGATGGATGGATGGATGATGGATGATGGATGGATGATGGATGGATGGATGATGGATGGATGATGGATGGATGATGGATGGATGGATGATGGATGGATGATGGATGGATGGATGATGGATGGATGGATGATGGATGGATGGATGATGGATGATGGATGGATGATGGATGGTGTCTTCCTCATTCATGTCACTGAGTTGTGATTTTTCTCCCCGAATCAAAGCAACGGCAGAAGAATTGGAGTAAAACTTAAATCCTGTGAAATGAAACAAGTGAAGAAAGAGAATCATGTTTGCTTTGTCACTGGGTTGGAGGTTTGATGCAATCATTGAATTGGCATGAAAACAGAGCACAAATTTAGCTCCCTGTTCTAAATTTGCCCTCTGAGACTGTCAGAAACCAACGGCGTGTGTTCGAACCGTACTCCTCCTCTTCCTCGCCGCTGCCCACAGGATGATGCTGATCTGAGTTCAGAGGTGGAAACTTTGAGCTGAGAATCATCACAGCTGGAAACAAGAGTGAAGTCAGTGCTGCACCTCCTCAGTGCTGACAGCCTCCGTCTGATGCTGCTGTTTGTGTTTGTCAGAATGGAGGGTCAGTGCCGGTCGTCTCAGAAGTACCTGCTGCTCCATGTGTGGTGCGGACTCCTCACCATGGCCCTGGTCATCATGGCCGCCTTTGTCGCGTCCATCAAACCAAAATCTGAGCCGGTAAGTAAACCTCATCCACACATTTTCACATTGCAGGTTCAAAACTTTGACGCCTTGAAAATATTTGAACATAGATTCAAAGACAAGCCATGAAAACAATTTGTGGCTTGTTGCCAAATAGTTTGAATTCAAAAATTTTAAATACAGAAAATCTAACTTTTCTCAAACAGGTGGTATCAAATGTATTACTCCTGATGAGATAACATCGTCTGCAGTGAGATAATCATCTGTGAAACTCCTACTGGTGATGTAAGCTAACAGCTAACGAGCTAATCACACAAACCCAGTGACAGCAGGATTCCTTTTATAGCACCAGAGCAGATCTGAACTTGGAACGATGACGATGACAAATACTGACGTTTTCTCTCTAAGTCGATTTGTAATGAGGCGATTATTGGGTCGGTCAGAACCAAAGTGATGCACAGAGATTATTAATCACATGAGAGAATCAGAGATCACAGATTACTCCTTGAAGAAAACATGGAGAGAAAAAAACACAATGATTTCTGTATTTTTACACTTTACTGGTTGGATCAGAAGCTTATACTGAGAAAATTTTAAGCATATATATATCTAAACTGCCAAAGATATTTTATTAGTTGCTTTATTAGGTATTTATTTTTGGCTGCAGCTGGTCAGTTCTGTCCAAATATTGTTGTTAACTTGCAATTTAGAAAAATATCTAAAACATCTTGATAGGTAAGTATAACAGCAATCTGGTGCAGAACAGTCGCATGGATTAGTTTTTGATGATGAAGTTTAATCCATTCATTGAAGTTAAAACCTGAGCTGGTTTACTTTTGGCCTGTAGGTGGCAGCATTTTCCACTCTGACAGTCCTGGGGTTTTTCCAGAGGTTCAGAAACATTTTCACTCTGATGATCTTTATCTTTCTCAAATCAGGTTTTTGTTCGTCAAATATGTGAAACTGAGTGAGTTATAACACATTTAAATAGATAGATAGATAGATAGATAGATAGATAGATATAGATAGATAGATAGATAGATAGATAGATAGATAGATAGATAGATAGATAGATAGATAGATAGATAGATAGATAGATAGATAGATAGATAGATAGATAGATAGATAGATAGATAGATAGATAGATAGATAGATAGATAGATAGATAGATAGATAGATAGATAGATAGATAGATAGATAGATAGATAGATAGATAGATAGATAGATAGATAGATAGATAGATAGATAGATAGATAGATAGATAGATAGATAGATAGATAGATAGATAGATAGATAGATAGATAGATAGATAGATAGATAGATAGATAGATAGATAGATAGATAGATAGATAGATAGATAGATAGATAGATAGATAGATAGATAGATAGATAGATAGATAGATAGATAGATAGATAGATAGATAGATAGATAGATAGATAGATAGATAGATAGATAGATAGATAGATAGATAGATAGATAGATAGATAGATAGATAGATAGATAGATAGATAGATAGATAGATAGATAGATAGATAGATAGATAGATAGATAGATAGATAGATAGATAGATAGATAGATAGATAGATAGATAGATAGATAGATAGATAGATAGATAGATAGATAGATAGATAGATAGATAGATAGATAGATAGATAGATAGATAGATAGATAGATAGATAGATAGATAGATATAGATAGATAGATAGATAGATAGATAGATAGATAGATAGATAGATAGATAGATAGATAGATAGATAGATAGATAGATAGATAGATAGATAGATGATTCTCCATAAACACTGATTTCTTCTGTCCTTCCAGCCCAGCGGCTCCCAGGAAAACCCTGCAGCAGGTACGCATCAGAAAGTCAGATTGTCTTTCAGAGTAAATCTGATCAACGCCACTAACTTTGTTTCATCTGATTTTTCTTTTCAGTCAGCGCTCGCTTTTCCCCAGAGGGACTTGCTGGTGTGTTGGATCATTTGTTGGAACTTCATAATGATTTACCAAACTGATTCAGGAAGCTGACATAAGTGTCCTTTGTTGCTTTTCAGGAAAGTCGTCTTCCTATATTCAACTGGAAACACGTAAGTTCACCTTCACTTCCTTCTAACATTCATTTCACTTTCAGAAGAAATGAACCAGTTTAATAGTTTCTAAGCTTTTATTTAGGATTTTCTCCATGTTTCAAAGAAAATAAGTCTTTTTCATTTGTTGCTGTTTATCAGGTTGAACCGTTAAACTTCTGATTTTTCATGCTGTGAAAAGCAGTGAACTCTTTAAAATAAGCAGCACAGAGTTTGCTTAGCATCGTACTGTATCCCGTTTATTTATATAGAAACAATACACAACATTTATTAACCTTTGAAACCACAACCTCATTAAAAATGCTCTATTAAATATGCAAACATTTATAACCAGACGATGTTCCAAACTAATTGTGGAATTTCAACAGATGATTTAAGGTTGAAACACAAACAGAGTTAATTTATGCTCACATATCTACTTAGATTCAGTCGAATCCAGTCAGAATTACAGTTCAGGACAACAACTGTTCAAATAGCAGCTTGTTTGAACAAAACTAGGAGAGTGACCACAACAGATTTTAAGTCTGAATTTAAAACAAATCAACAAGTTTGAGGTGAGGCTGGAAGCACACACACAGTTCAGGTCAGGTGTGTGTAGCCGAGGTTCATCTGTGATTTGACTAAATGGATCAAGAAAAGGAGAGAAATGGAGAATAATGTGGAGGGAGTGTACTGATCCCTGTGGTACACCACAATGACCTGAACCTCTGAAGCCGCTGTGTGGGAATATTTTACATTCACACATGAATGACTTGTTGAGCTCTTATGTCACAAACCTCTAAATAACTGCAACTCAACATGATGTTTTACTCTGCAGTGAATCAATTCCTTTGGTTTCCTACCCAAAGGAGCCGATTTTCCTTTGTGAAAGTGTGAAATAACACACCCGACACCTGAACTCTGATGAACTCTGACCTGAACCACATAAAGATTGTTACAAAGTTGGCCTTTTATCACCTGAAGACACATAAACCTCTTTTATCAAAGCACCGATTAGGATGTTAACGAGGAAAAATGTGAATGTAGGACGGATGTGTGACTATGGTAACAAATTATCAGTAACAAGTTTTTAATGAGAGGAAACTTTAATAATTCAGACATTGTTTAAATAAGTATTAAACATTCATAAATCACAAAGGATATTTTAACTTTAAGGACAATATTATAATCATTAAATTACAAGGTAACAGATAATCAGCCCTCATTGCTGAAGCCTTGACCTTTACCTTATTTGTGTGATGAAAAGCGCTGATATGACGCCTACATGTTTTGGTTACAAAAACTTCAAACATGTTCTGGGAGAAACGTCGTCATTCTGAGAACAGAACCGGCCCTGAAACTCACCCACTTCTGCTACATAAACACCACATTTGTGTCGCCACCTTCAGTCCACTCCTTTCAAAAATCCTGAAACTGTTCGCTCTGGAATGTCTTTTAGCAAAGATGAACCTTTCTTAGAATATCTGAAGACAGTGGCTTTAATTTGGCCGGCGTTAGTGTGTGTGAGACGGAGCAGAGAATCCAGCCTCGTCGCTCGTGTCGCTTTCCTCCCACCATGGCGGCTCCTTCCTGTGTGAAGTGGCTTTCCTACAACCACAACAAACCTGAGCAGAGCTGTAATGACTTTAGGCATAATTATGAGCCAAGCAGCTAACATGAGTTTGATGTTTTGCCTGGGCTGACAGAGAGGAGATTAGGCTCTAATTGGAGGCTCAGCCTCTGCAGGGTTTTATTTCTCGCAGCTGATGATGAAACAGATCTGTTTATTCAGCTGGAAGCCCAACTGAACACAATTATCTCATTTTTATTACAAATCTTCTTTCATCCCTGTGCACAGATCTGTAACGCAGACACAGCAACTTAAACACATTTAATCTTCTTCTTATTATTTTTTTCTCTCCTCTCTCCCTGGACGCCATCATCTCCTGTTTCACTGACTTGACTTGAGCAAATCAAGAGTTTCTTTCTTGTTTTTTTCAACCTGAAACTCTAAATCGTTTAAAGTTCTCCAGGTTTTCTGAGGATTTTTAAAAATTGTTCTGCATTTGAGGAACGATCTAGAATCATGCTTCAGTTATTACAGCTAGAAAAAAAAGATCAGGCCTGAAATCTGGGTGTGGAGATGAACTCTGACCTCCAGAGCCACATAAAGACAGCTACAAAGTCAGCCTTCTATCACCTGGAGAACATTCCCAGGATTAAAGGACTGACGTCTCAGCAAAATCTTTTTTTTTATGGTCTTTATGTAACCAGGTAAAACTCCATTTTCAAGAGGGAGCTGTGCAGAAATCTGCAGAACACACATGTAGAGAAACTGAGCCACATGTTTTAGTCCCTGGTTACTGCAGCTGATCCAAAACGCTGCTGCTGGAGTTCTGACTGAAACCAGGAAGCCGAATCATAGAACGGTTTTGTACCACGATAGATCCGCTGCTGTTGCATCAACCCTCCAGACCTCTCAGGTTTTCTGGTTCTGGTTCTGCTCAGCATCCCCAGAACCAGAACCAAACATGAAGAAGCAGCTTTCAGCTTCTATGCACCACAAATCTGGAACGAACTTCCAGAAAACTGCAAAACATCAGAAGCACTGAGTGTAAACCACCAGTAACCGCTGGAACACTGACAACATATTTGATGTGTTTTAATGGTGGAACTTGAAAAAATGTAAAATCTGTTACTGGTTTCAGTGACAGCATAATGTATGTAAGACGGCTTCATATCTGTCTTTGAACCTCATTGTTGCTGAAATCAGCTAAACAAATAAACTTAATTGATTGATTGATTAATTGATTGATTGATGATACCAACTGGTGAAACAACCCATCATGCCCTCTGGTACTTGTCTTACAAACATTTGATAAAGGTTAAAGAAAACTTGGGAATGAAGTGTTTCCTTTGGTTCTTGTTTTCTGGCAGACTTTAGTAAAGACTCGTGGGTGGAACGCGTGTCCTGTGGGTCCTGCTCCCTGTCCCTGCAGCAGGACTCCATCTGCTTCAACAGCAGCCGCCCTGAGAGCTCCCACTTCTTCTTCTACGCCCAGGTGGTCTTCAGGAAGAACCAGATGCACAAACTTCGCCCTTCTGTGATGTTGATAAGAAATGCCTCTGAAAATCCAAAGAAGGAGGAGATGGTTTTGGCGTCTGTCTCGGCGGCGGGCGAGTCGGTCTGGTTGGGGAAGATGGTGATTCTGACCGAAGGCGACAGCGTGAGGCTGAACATCACAGGAGAATTTCTCCGAGGCGATTCGTTCTGGGGAGCTTTCCAGCTCCATTAACGCGCCAGGACCGGCAGTCCTGCTACAACTTGTGACCCGTCCATCCATGTGGTTTGATTTGTTTCCCCAAAAACATTTGTGAAGTATTTCCATCCCTCCTGTGGCCGACATGGAACACTAACTCCATCAGACATGTTTAAATGCAGATTTTACTCCTACTTGTTGAACAACAGGCTCTTCCTCTCAGGCCTTTTGGTTTAGTGAACTTCATCCTCAGTTTGAAGCCAGCAGAAAGTTTCAATGCCAACTGTGAATGGGCCATAAAAACCTCCTCCATTTTTCTTATTTTGCAACTTTTCTGTGTGTTTTATAATTTATAATTAAATATTTTATTGTGGTTGTTAAACAGAAAACTAATAAAATTTATTCTTATTATAAGTCACATTGTGTTTTTGTGTCTAACATTTCATTTTTGTGTGACTCTTGGTGTTGCCATGTTCACTGATTATAGTCTTTCATACATTTATGAACAATATGTGTTGCAGTTTTGTGGCTGTTCATTTAACTGGAGTCTGAATTGTGTGTGAAATGATGGATTTTATTTTTGCATTAAATATGTTCTAAAGGAACATTAACTTCTACACCAAATTCTGACAGGTGGCGCACCGGTCTGAAGGAACGCTAGATGGTTTTTTGTACGTCAATTTGACTGAAAGAAATCATATTTTCATATTCTTATCCATGAACTTTTAAATTAAAATCATAGCATTTTATTTTCATTCAGTTTAGCTAACATTCAACAAGTTGAATGGAGAACCCTCATCATGCCATCATCAAGATGAATAAAATTTATGAAAGTAAAATATCGTTCTTAAATTATGAGCGATTCTCTGGCTGTGGCCTGAACGCACCGTCTCACAGCCTCCTGCTGGTCCTCATGGAGCTGAACTGGAACCAGTTCGACTGTGATCAAACGTCTCTGGGTTCATGTGTTGATCTGGAAGATGAATCCAGTCTCTGCTGCCACACTGGAGACTGGAATTACCAGCCAAAGTTTTGAAATCAGGGAACATTTCTCCAACTGAAGTGATCAGAAGCCAGCAAGACTTTCTGAAGGAGAAGTTTCCAGCAGCAGGGGCTGCAGGATCGGGAGACGCCTGGAGTCGGACCGGGAGAAAACACTTAGATGGAAACTTATATGCATATGAAATTAATTCAGTTAGCTGATGCATTACATTAAAAATGTCCTTGCTTGTGCTCAGCTGTCTGGATAGGAATCCGTTAAAATGATGGAAGGTCATCAGATATTATTATTATTATTAAAATAATAAAAATAATAATAAAAATGGTGAAAGATGTAAAATATTCAGTGTATGCAGCCATTACTCCTGATGTGAAGACATTCATGTCCTCATTCCAGCTTTTCTTGGGAGGTAATGATTGCTAACAATAATCAATAATTTTAACATATCAACTCTGATCTGGATTCCTGCTCTGATGACGTCATCATCCTCAGATGAAGCTCAAACGCTGTTTTTTTTATGACACATTAAGATATGTTGTAGTGTAAGTGAACTTTAGATAAACTTTTAATAATGTCTGAAGTGGCCAGCAGCGATTTGACCACAGGGTGGCGCCACTTCCCACCAAATCCATCGAAACAAAAGCCCACGTGTTTATTCTGTAAACACAAACTTTTTAAATGAGACTCTGAAGAGACATTAATTAGTCTCAAGAATAACAAAGAAAGACATAAATAAATGTGAATATTGTTCATGTCAGTAAATTCTTCAGCAATGTTTCGTGTCTGAAGGTGATAATGCAAACAGACATGGACTGAAACCTCAAAGGTATTTATTTACAAGATGCATCAAGCAGCAGCTGCAAAACAGGAAGCCGCAAATTTGGTGCAACATCTGTGAGCTTCCTCCAGCAGGTTAACACTTCGACAGAAACACAGCGATCGACTCACACGGTCACATTTCAGCCTCTGCAGCGCTCACTGCCATTCCCTGCATGCTTGTCTCTGAATAAAGGTGAGCCGGTGTGAGCAATGACATGTCAAATTGTTTCCAGATATCGTGATGTCTGACCTCAACACTCATTAACGCCTGAAGTTTTGGGATAGTTTTGGAAAATTCCTCCTGAGAAAAAAAAATTCCCAGATCCAGTCAGAAACAGCTCCTCAGCCAGAATGCTAAAAATACAGTAGAAAAGCTTTTGTGATGGACTATAATAAGCCACTCACACCTGATTACATAAATCCATCCATGAGTCACATTAGCTTTTTAATCATTGGAGATTTGGAGAGTCGATGTAAAGTTGGCTGACAGATGCAATGATTTCTTCAGGGACCATTTTCTTTAAGTCTTCCAGGTTTAATAAGGATCTGTACCGCACTGGGATCCAGGGCTGGTTTAAAACCTTTCAACAGTCCTCAGGTTTTCACATCAGATCATTCAGGCATGAAAAGATGGCTGAGCTGAAGGGATGAACCAGAGTTGTGTCATGTTTGGGTCATCAGATCTTCAGCATGACCCTGATCAGCCAGCCAGCTCATTCCCTGGGGAAAGAGGTTCGCCACTTTCTCTTCAGTCCAAAATTTAAGCACAAATTACAAACCCAGTTCCTATAGAAGACCTGGATGAAGGTTCAGAAAACCTGAGGAGCGTAAAGAACATTTCAGAAGATCCTTCTGGGTCTTTGGAACCAAAATCTTTTACTCTTCACTGGACGGTGTGAACGAAAACCGGCCTTTCTCCTCAGTAAGAAGTCAGTTGTTCGCCTGTACATGAAGTTATCGCCGCCGGGAGGCAGGAAGAGCCGGTTCTTGTTTTTCCTAACAAACACGAGTCTTTCCTCCGGAAGGTACAAGAAATGAAAACAACCGAAACTAAAAAAATCCTGTGGAACTACATCAAGACCGCGTCAAAGATTACAGCAAAGTTTTGCTGCTTGGAAGGAATATCCATATTTTAACCTTCATAAACATCCTGAAACTGACAGGAGAGTCTCAGCTCTGTGATGTTTGATGGATTTCTTTCATGCACTGTTGGTTTTAAATCTCCAGCAGAATCTCAATAAGACTCAGATCTGAGTTTTAGACCAATCTGCTCCATTTCTGTCTCTCAGTCCTTTCCCTGATGGATTCCTGTGAAGTTCTGGGTATCTGGTGCTGCATGGTTCACCTCCACTTCAGCTTTGATTTCTGTCAGATGTCTCCCTCTGATACAGCAAAGTTTTCTTGTGCATTTCCTAAAAACGAGTGTGGACTTTCATGCTAATGCTTCAAATTCAAGTGCTGGTTAATTTAAAATGCGGCTGCAGGCCAAAAGAATCAAAGTAAAACACAAGCTGCCTTTCATCTGACCATGGGTTGCATTTCTCTTTCTAACATTCACCTCATTTTAACCTGTTACTTTGTTTTTCAAGCACATGTTGACCTGAACTCCTTGAAAGAAGAATAGTTTCTCATTTGGACTTTCTCGGTTGAAAAAGGCTGATTAAAATAACTAAAGATAGATTTCAGAGTCATCTGCTCAAACCACGTTCAAAAAACCCAACTGTTTCCTCACTCTTTCACTTCTTTAATATTTTTTCTGGTTATTTTCGGCACAAATCAGTTGATCTGAACTTTCTTAGTGTTTTTATTTCTTCTTTCATTCGTTTTGGATCTGCAATTATGTTCCTTAAAGTGTGCGTTGAGAGGCTGCCCATCGAACACAAAGGCAGTGATATCAGTTTCTCCAGCGTAAATGGAAGTTTATGACATGAATATTAATATGACAAACCATAAAGGAAGAAACTACTCAGGAGAAATGCAGCCTGCGTGACTGATCCTCCAGAACGGCTCAGTAAAAGCCATCCGACTCTGATTCACCACAAAGATTAATGGAGATGACACATTTTTCAATAACTTCCTCAATTTTGTAAAGAAAAGAAAAAAGTTTTCAGCAGATTTTTGGCTTTTCCAAAAAGAAGTTGGATGGAACTACATTCCTTCAAGAAGGTTTCTAGTTCCATCTCGAAGGGGAAATGGACCATTTGCCAAATTTGCGAGCATTTATCTCCCATGAATGATCAGCTGTGTCGCCTGCATTAGAGTCAGTTCTTCCTGCGAGTTTCTGGACGCCACAAACATTGGAACCAGCAGCTGACCTGACAGAACAACTTCTGATAGCAACGCATTCCTGAAAACGTCCCTCCATTTTTCTGAGAGTGTAATTCTGCAGTTGCGCTCTGTGCAGCCCGGTTGATTCGCTCCAAACCTGTAGAGGAAAAAACTACTGATTCAAATGTTTTTCTTTTTTTGCAAAATTTGGAAAGTTTGCTCAAAATTTGCATGACATCTGGATGGAATCGTAGCTTTTCAGCAGAAGCAGCTAAAAGTCAGGTTTCGATGTTCTGCCTGATAATTAACTGGACTAAAGTAGCCACTAGAAATTCACTCACTTTGCCTTGAACAGAAACTTTAAGCCACATGTGGCTGGAAGAAAATCTGAGAGCAGCTGCAGTTCAATACTCTGTCTTCATTTGGCTCAGGCACTGAAAAAGTTTTCTACTTTCTGCAGGCTTTGTTGGTAAAAACCTGCAGAAAGCTTAGAGGGTTTATATCACTTATTTTTATCACTGTAGACATTTGTTGATGTGTTGCACAGGCGATGGACCAGAAAATAAAAAGACAAAACAACAGACACATTATGCTCACAAACAACAATGTGATGCCATGACTCCTGACTCACTACTAGAGAAATCTGTCACGTTCACGTCCCTTGGCTTTGGGTTGTTCCTTTTCTTGAAGCAAAGATCCAAAATATTTCACAATTTCAGAGCAAAGTGGACCAAACAGACTCTGTTCTGGTGAGTTCAGGTTTATCAGACGCTCACCTCTTTTCCAGTTTAGATGATGTTTGGGGAAAGAACCAGTGCTTACTCATTTTTCTGTGTTATCATCATGTAGTTATGCATCTTTGGGACATTTTCCCTTTAGAAAAGTCTCATTGTTGAGATGAGAATTTGTTGTCTATTTGAAATCGGTCCACAGAGTTTGAGCATCCAGAGACACATGAGGAAATCACTCTGGTTTAGAGAGCAGTGCTCTTAAACAGCTTATTCTGGTTTCATTTTCATACATTTTTAGTTGTTTTACCAAAATATAGTAATATCTTCAGAGTAATTCTGGACTGATTGGGATTCCAACCAGACATGAAATGGATGAGTTCAGATTTTACGTTTGCTGGCATTTCCACTGAACTGAATCAGTGAACTACAGATAAATGATACAAAAAAAACACTTTTTGTGCAAAAACAAAAAAACTCCTTGCAAGAAATCAGCTGTTTGATCCAGCAGGATGCCCTGGGCATTTCACTGGACTTTATGTCGTTACCTCCGTCAGGTGACTTTGAATTTAAGACACAGGAAAAGCCGGGGAATCACCGACA